TTACAATCCCATCAACAGTCCACAAGGGTTTCCTTTTCTCCACATCCTTGCCAACACTAGTTATTTGTTGATTTATTGATGATAGCCATTCTGACAGATGTGAGGTGACATTTCATTGTGGTTTTAATTTGCATCTCTCTGATGATTAGTAACATTGGGAATCTTTTCATGTCTATTGGCCATCTGTATGTCCTCTTCAGAGAAATGTCTGTTTAGGTTCTCTGCCCATTTTAGGATTGGTTGTTGAATTGTCTTCTAAGATATTATCCCTGACTTATCAATGTGTATTCTCTTAATGTCTCTCTGCTCACTCTACATGAATAGCTTCATTAATTGCAACACCCAAGGCACTGTTTCATAAGTGGGAGCAGTAAATTATCAGTAACCTAACAAATTCATTCAGTATCTATATTGTTTCTTCCATAAAGTTCAACATGTTGACTGATTATAAAAATAATCTTCTTGTTTTTTCTTCATTCTTCAGATTTAATAGTTGTGAGTATAAGGAGTCAGGAAAGACAGTGGGAACCAGAAAGTAAAATAGTATCAATTACTAACATTTCCCATTCTCTGCTAAGGCTTGTCTTATCTGAAGCTCGTAAAACTGTTTAATCTTTTCCATCCTCTTAGGGTAAAGAGGGCCTGGAAAATCCTAGTCATTCCACAGTAACTGTCAGTAGTATTTTTCATAACTATATGAATGCAAAATAAAAATCTTAAGAAGTTCATCCAATTTTAAAACTTACTTCCCAACTTACTAATAAATATGAAAAGACAACCTATCCATATTTTCTTCAAATAACATGTTTTCTTGGCCAGACTGTTAATATCTGAAAAAGCTCTTGAGGTTGTTTCAATCTACATTTAGAGAGCTTCAAAATGCATTTTATGCATTAAACATTCTTTTCTACACCTGACTTAGGGCCAGAGATAGGACCATGAGACAGAACCCTGAAAAGAAATTAGAAAGGGAGATAAAATTGTCTTCTGAAAGTTAAACTGTTAAACCAACACTTGATGGATCAGGGCAGGGAAATAAGAAATCACAACATGGGTCAAAAAAGCTTCTAGGCCAGCAAGATTTGGCTGTGACCCCACTAAAGATACAACACACACACCTAAAGACTATATTAGTCCATAATGGAGTTATAAAAGGAGAAGAGTTGCTAAGACAGACCTGAGTAGGACGTGCAAAGGCTCTGTGCAGAGTGGGGAAAATCTGGACCAGCTGTGAACTAGTGACAAAGCATCTCTATGGAGAAAATGAATGCATCACTTTATCTTAGTCTCATTACTCTGGGCTGGCTTGTGTTATACATGATGGAAAACTCAATATTGAACTTACAGCCTAGCCTGGAGAAGGCAATCATTAGATTAATGAATTTGTTCCAAATCTTTGCTCACAATCTCCTGATTATAATTTGGCTCCCATACAGTTCTGCCTACAGGGAGAGAATGACCTAGTCTTGTGGATTTGAGAATTTTACTTCCCATCCAGCTACAGTACTCATTGAAATATACAGTTTAGCATTTGATCTTGCTTACCTAGACTCAGCTCCCAGAGGAAGGGCCCTTGAGTGCCCTGAGAGATCAGGTTCCTGAGCCCACTGGGCTGGCAGCAGCGAGTCTCTGGGCCATGGAAAATTCACCAGGGTGGTGATGATGATGGTAGTGACAGAGACAACCATGGCCATGTGCTGAGCAATCTCTACATGTCAGAGACTGCACTATGTGCTTTACATACTTGAACTCATTTAATCCCCACAACAATTCAATAAACTAGGCATTATTAGTATTCCCATTTTATAAATAAGAAAGAAACCTAAGACTAAGAAAGCTTTTGTAACTTACCCAGAAACCCACATTAGAAATCTGGATTCAGACCCAGATTTGTCTGACTCTAAAACTTAATCTCTTAAATTTTGAAAATACTATCTCTGGAGGATGAATCCAATTCTTCCCCTGGCCACACTCCTCTCTGCTTCTACAGTGTGCTTTGGGCCATCCGGTCCATCTTCAGCATGAGTACTCATCAATACACCATTACTACACCAGCCTTCACATCGATGCACATAAAGAGTACAATCAACCCTTAACCAGATGTGCAGAAAGTCAAACTCTATTTTAGTGGACAGCATCACTGTCACCATCTAGCCCATGCCATCATACGATTAGTTTCAGAAGCCAAATGATGCTTCTCTTTCCATCACCACCTCAGCCACACACTGTTAAATAATTTGCACACCTTTAATAAACCTTTTCAACACTTCCCTAGTGTGTCTACTTCTCACTATCACCATTATCACTACCTGTCTTTCACCTAGACCTCTACAAAACTCTCCTAAGACATGTTCTTGCTTCTACTCTCACTCTCTTTCATTCTCAACCATGCATCTAGTGATCTAAATATTATGCAATCATGGCATTCCACTGTTTAAAAATCTTTCAGTGGACTCCCAACCTCTCATCATATTCTGTGCTCCAGTCCTAACAGTGATTGGCCTGCAGTTCTTGGAATATATCCAGCTATGTCTGCTCTGGGATGGCACCCAAGCTGGACCTGGAATACACTCACATCCCCCCGAATCATTCTTCCCTCCATACCTCTTCTGGTCAGCTTATACAGGGACCTTGGAACTCACTCATGTTTCACCTTCTCCAGGAAGCCTGGGTTAGGTGCCCATCTGAGGCACTCTTGTCACATGCAGCTCATCTTTCATCTCCCTGTATGGGAATTTTTTATTTATGTGACTCTACCCCCAGACTATAAACTCCCTGAAGCCCAGGACCCACTCTGTTTATACACAGTGACACACACACACACACACACACACACACACACGTATGTAGAACAAATGAATGAATGAATAAATGAACAAATGAATGAGAGGCTAGTATATCACAGATGTAAAAATCCACCCTACTTCCTCAAGTTCCAGTTGTGTGCTCTTAAGAAAGGTGTTTCATCTCTCGCTAGACCACAGATTCTCTGCAAAATAAGGATCATAAATCCTGTACTGTCAAGTTCTTGTGAGATTTAAACCAAAGCATACAATATGTGGAAAGCACCATGCATGGTATATAACAAGTGCTCAAATGTTGGTTGCTACTGTTATTACTATGTCCTTGGAGACCTAATCAAAAACATGCATGTCCTTGAAAGGCCTCACAGATATTCCCAGACCCCTGATGACTCAGCTGCTCCAGGCCTTCTCAGCACTCATGTTTTACACTTTATACTGCATTATCTTGCACTCTTGAATGTACTGCTTTGAAAGGATCTCATACTTTCTTCCAGATGCCTAATACTATCAAAAGCTTGTAGGTGAAATGACATCAAGATTTGTTGCAGATCTTACTCCCCACTGAAGCCTTAGCCCATAAACATTCACACGGCACCTTCTAATGATGCAAATGCCACACAGAAAAACTAATATAACCCTGAGAAGAACATGCAGAGAAATGAAAAGACTGTGGCACTGACAGGTGGTGATCCCAAAATAGAAACCAAGGCTTAAAGGGGTCAGAAGTAAGACCAGGTCTTCAGAAAGGGGACATCCTTAGTCACAACAGATGTGAAAAGGTGAATTATATATGTTATACCATGGCCCTTCAATGGAATTGCACAGCCATTAAAAATAGATAGAGGCCACCCGGCAGGTGTGGCTCAGTGGTTGAGCATCGACCCATGCACTAAGTGGTCACTGGTTCGATTCCCGGTCAGGGCACATGCCTCTGTTGTGGGCCCAAACCCCAGTGGGGGGGCATGCAGGAAGCAGCCAATTGATATTCTCTCTCATCTATGTTTCTGTCTCTCTCCCTCCCTCTCCCTCTCTCAAATAAATAAAAAATAAAATAAAATAAAATAGAAGCCAACTAATAAAATGGTAAATAACATATAGACATCATGTTTGTTTGCTTTCAAATCCTCACCCAAGGATATTTTTTCCATTTATGTTCAGATAGAGTGGGAGGGAGAGGGAGACACATAGATGTGAGAGAGACACATGGATTGGTTGCCTCCCGCATAACCCTGACCAGGGCAGGGAGGAACCGCAACCCAGGTACTTGCCCTTGACAGGAATCCAGCAGGAGACTCTTCGGTCCTTGGGCTGACGCTCTAACCGCTGAGCCAAACCGGCCAGGGCATGTTATATATATTAAAAAGGAAAAAGAAAAAAAAAAAAAAACCCATATATGTAATACATATTTTTGACCACAGGATATAAAATTTGCTTTCAAAAATATGTAAGGGAGTAAACCAAAATTTTAAGTTGTAACAGGATGATGAATTTGTGGGTGATGTTTTCTTTGCTGGATTCCCCATACCATTTGTAGCATAGTCATATCTTTTAAAATGAGCATCGTCCTGTGCACCAAAAAGGTTGTGGTTGGATTCCACGTCAGGACACATACCCAGGTTTCTATTTCAATCCCGGTTGAGTGCATAGGAGAGGCAATTGAACCATCATGTTTCTCTCTCACAAATATGTTTCTCTATCCTCCCCCTTCCTCTCTCTCTACCCGCTCCCATCTCCCACCCCCCAAAATCAATGCAAACAAATCCTCGGGTAAGGATTTTCTTTCTTTTTTTTTTTTTTAAGTAAAGTCTAATTCTTTAAAACTATATATTCTGTGTGGCTCCCTGGCATCTCTTCCCGGAAGAAATTAGGTAGTGCAGAAGACACGCCCTCGGCTGAAGGAGGTTTCTAGAGCCTCGGGCCTGGGCACCTCGGCACCTGGAAGTACAATCTCGATCGTGCTGGGTTCCTTATTTTACTGGTCACCGCCCAGATGAATCTCATTTCGTGCCCTTGGGCAGGCCGCCCTAGGTGAGCCCAGCCCCTCCACCCACTCCCGATCGGAGCGATCCTCCTTGCGAAGTTTCCGTTTGGTAGGAGGGAGGCTCCTCAAGCAGCTGGAAATCGAGCGCCGGTGAGCAGCACCCGAAGCCTTACCGCACCCGGCCTCCCCGGCCGCCCACCTTGCGCCCCGCATACCTCTTGCAGGGGATCAGCGCCTTCCTCTCGTCCAGCACCCGCACGCGCTGGTTGAGCCCGTCGTAGGAGAGCAGGGCGCGGCTGTTGAGCCCGCTGCTCTGCTGGTACATCACCTGGCGCCCCTCCCACTGCTGCGGCGCCTGGCAAGGGCGCTGGGTTCCCGGAGACACCCAGATCCCGGCCCCTATACTGCAAAGGCTGCCCAGCACCCAGACCCACAGGCCGCCCAGAAGCCCTCCAGCCCCAAGGAGGGGAGCGCGCCCTAGCATCGCGGTCCGCCACGCCTGCCGCCCGGCAAAGGCCAGCCCCAGACCAAGGGGGTACTTAACGGAGGGCGGCGGCGCGTAGCTTTCCCGCGCTAGGTCCGAGCGCTGTCTTGGCGAAATTGCGGTCTGTCCTGGTGACTGCCTCTACAGTTGCTGGGATCAAGACGCGCGATAGCGGGAGTCTGGCCCAGGGGCCCAGGAAGGCTCCGGTGAACCGCGCAGGAGCTATTTCTGCCCTGGCCACTGCCCACTGCGTCTGTTTTCACTTGCTCGCTGCTGCCAACAGGAAATGCAGTGGCAGCGGTGCCACTAGCATACTGAAGGGCATCCACGTTTAGAAAGGGAGGGGGGATGCATTGTGAAAAGGATATGTTTCTCCATTAATTTAAGTGTTCAGCAGATAATCTCTACACTAGGGAACAAAATCAAGGTCAGGAAAGCAGTACTGATGCACTTGTTTTGCCTCACATGCCTTGCCCCTTTTGCTAAAATTGCCATCTTCTCCCAAATTAAAAATGAAAAGAAGTGTCCCTTGATGAAGAAATAACACCAATCACTCATCAGTCATTTCCTATTCCTGTTCCCAGCATAGAGTTTAGGGGATAGGCCCTTGCTCTTGGCCTGAGGTCTCAGAGACATGCCTCTGTAGCACACTTGCAGTGACACTGCTGCCTTCACCTATCACCTGACAAGACCACAAGGCTAGATGTGTGTGAGTCTGGAGTTCAGCATCTTCAAGGATGAAGTTAATTGAGTTTACAGTTTATGTCTATGTAATGTTAGGATCTATAATATTGAATCAAGAAAAAAGAAGCAACTTAAAAAAAGACCCTTGCTTTCCAAGTTTATGGCATATTTTTATTTGATTTACTTCTCAAGGATGAGAGTGAGCCAGGTTAACATTTCTGGATGAAAGACATAGAAACAAGAGAAAATGAGCATAATACTGGAGTTCAATGATGAGGCAGAGGGTAATATGGAGCCAGATCACTCAGGACCTCAAAAGCCATTTTAAGGATTTGGTATTAATACTGAGGGTGATTGGAGCCACAAATAAATTCAAAGCTAGGGAGTGACATCAGCAGGTATACATGCCTTAGGGAGCTCACTCAGATGTCACTGTGGAGAATAGGTAGGGCAAGGCAAAAGGCAGTTGGAAGGAGAAAGATGCTGTCGTAATCCATACAAGAGATACAGTCGGAGGTTAAGTGGTGATCGTGGAAATGAAGAGGGGGTGGACAGAGTTGGGAATTACAGAGAAGGATTTAGACTCAGAGAGGGTTCTGGTTTGGGCCACTGGGAATTTGAATAGTCCTGAGCTAGAAAAGATAAATTCAGTTTAGAATTGATTAATTTTGAAGTGACTGTGGAATAAACAGGTGAAACAGCCCAGGGACAGTTAGTTGAATAAGCACTTCCAGAGACCAGCAAGGGTAAGGGTATGGATAGTGAACCATTGACATCTAAGTAGTCATTGAAGCCAAAAGGTAGAACAGTGGTTCTCCACCCAGGATGACTTTACCCCCGAGGGGACAGTTAGCAGTATCTGGAAATGTTTTTGATTGTCAGTGTGAGGTGAGGGCTAAGCTGCTAGTGGTATCTAGTGGGAGGAAGCCAGGGATGCTACTACCCACAGTGCACAGGACAGCCTCCCCACCTCCCAGTAAAGAATTATCCAACCCTAATGTCAATAGTGCCCAAGCCAGGAAAACCTGGAGTAGCAGGGAGGGTAGAGAACAAAAAGAGGGCTGAGGATGAAGCCCCGGAGAACTCCAGGCATTTACAGGATAGGCAGAGAAGGAGACACTTGAGATTGAAAGTGAATCACAAGAAAGAAGCTAGTGACCAAGGCAATTTCCTCAGTTACACAAGCTTTTAGCAAATCAGAGTCAAGTATGGGCTAATGGATTGAGTGCTAAAGCAGAATATGAAGAGGGAGGTGGGCTGACAGAATATCCTGATGAATCCCTCACTGCTCATCCCCTCCAGCCTAAAACACTAGGGACAGACTACCTAGGACTTAATGGGGTAAGCAAAGAGCTTTAGGACAAGGGCTCTTCTCACCTTTTCTTAAAGGACATGCCATGGAGAACATCAAGGAAGCACCTGAAATGTGACTTGGTACTTGCACAGTTAAACAAATGCAGCAGGTTTAAACTGGCTGTAGACATATGAGCCCTTTCCAAGTTTTCCCTCCTTAACCAACTCACAGGAAAAAGACAAGCAGTTCAGTTCTTTCTCAAAACTGTATTTTCTTCCCTCATAGGAATTCAAGTTAAAACTCATTTTCACTAAGTCAGAGGTTTTGTCTCATTACATTTTACTTCTGGAAATACCTTGAGATCTCATTGGGCTCTCCCTTTAGCTTACTATCTTGCTAGCCTGGCCTGGCATTTCTGAAGCTTGAGATTTGTTCTGTAGAAAACTGAAATACCTCTCTGGACTGGCCTGGCTGTATTTAGATACCCTGGGCTTCCCCTAAATAGAACCAGACACCTGGGATAAATCCTGAAATGAAATTTGTCTCACTTATCCTTTAAATTTAGGTGCTTAATTCATGTACCACTCCTCCAATAAGATAATGCATTTAAAGCCCTTGGTACCATGCCTAGTCCATTGTAAATGCTCAATAAATGTCAATTGTAATTTTTGTTCCTTGGGCTATTTTAGTCCTCAGTCTTTATTAGAGTCAAAACTAAACTAATTTAGTGGTTCTAAGTTTTGGAGAGAAAATCCTGTCTGCCTTAAATTCAGATTTTCAATGAAACTACTATATCTTTAAAGATTAACATTCAGAGAACACATGATTGTATATTCTAATGCCCTAAGAAAAGAACATATACCAGCAATCTTACTACCTGAAGATCCATGTGCCCTTGCAACAATAATGCCGCCCTTTTCTGAGGATAACTGAGTCAGCAGATGGTTTTACTACCTCTTCTTAAAAATAAGATAAAAGAGGTCTGGCTGCTCTGGCTCAGCGGTTAGAGCGTGGGCCTGTGGTCCAGAAAAAGCCGGGTTTGGTTTCCGATATGGACCCGTACCTCGGTTGCAGTTTGTCCCTGCCCTGGTTGGTCGTGTGGATGGCAGTCACTTGATGTGTCCCTTTCACGTCGATGTTCCTCTCTTCCCCTCTCTCCCACTTTATCTGAACAAAAAATGGGAGAAAAAAAAATATGTCCTTGGGTGAGGATAAAAGAAAAAAAATAAGATAAAAGAGAAAACAAAACATACATACTTACTTTCCATGGTACGTAGCTTCTTACTCAATTTAAACAGCAGGTTCAATGCATATCAAAAATCAAGATTTTAGGTTGCTGGTAACCCAAGAATCACTTGGCATGAAGAGGGGAAATTTTTTTTCAGACTGAGGTGTTCAAAAACCTTCAGGCAGTTTTGTTCCTGAAGCAGTTACAGACCAAATACCATTCCGGAAAAACTTGAGAGCCCAAATTAATGTCTATCGATTACTAAAAACAACAAACTCCACACAACGTGGGGCAGGGTGGGGTGGTTTGTTTACATCCTCTTCCAACTACTACTGCACTCTCCTGTCCCACACAACAATCTACTACTCAGAGCTTCTCATGCCCCTACTGGAAGAAGCAATTATTTTTCATAATTAAAGGGCAGCAGACGTTCTCATTTCCCTCCAACTGTATACTTGAAGAACTGTATAAGGCATGAGAAACAAAGTTCAGTTTTGACTCAAAAAAAGAGTATCTTTCTCTCTTGAAATCCTCTCTTGCACCCTCTTGAATCCAGTGTCCAAAACGACTGCCAGAGACGCTTTTTTTTTTTTGGTCTGAAAAGAAAGTACTGGCCAGATCAAAAAGGAGGGACTTTGGGGGAATGTCAGATCCAGCCCAGGGCTTCGGGCCCAGAGGAGATGATGTCACTGCTTCTGCAAAGAGAGGGCTGGGGGTGGAGCGGCGGAGGGGGAGCCGGGCCCGCGCCTACAGCTGCCAAGTGGAGCATTCCGAGCCCACGTCAAGGGAGGTATCGGGATAAATAGGGTCCCACAATGGCCATGGCTGGATGCGCTTGGAGCTGCGAAGGCGTGTTCGCGCCCAGGAGGCGGAGGGCTGGTGTTGCTCGTGCCCTCTGCTCCAGAGGGCAGATATCTTCGGCCAGCCCCAGCGGCTCCGCATTGCTGCCGAAGGGAGTTTGGGGGGTTCTGTGTCCTAAAGGACTACCTCCTCGGAGAGGGGAGAGAGAAAGACTGGGGGGTGGCGGGAAAAGAAGGGCCCTTTCCGCCTGTTGAAGTCGCGGCACAGGAGGACGGTGCCATGCTCCTTTCCATCCTGGCTGCTCTATGCCTGTGGCTGCGCCTGGCGCTTGGCGTGCGCGGCGCCCCTTGCGAGGCGGTGCGCATCCCCATGTGCCGGCACATGCCCTGGAACATCACTCGTATGCCAAACCACCTGCACCACAGCACGCAGGAGAATGCCATCCTGGCCATTGAGCAGTACGAAGAGCTGGTGGACGTGAACTGCAGCGCCGTGCTGCGCTTCTTCCTCTGCGCCATGTACGCGCCCATCTGCACCCTGGAGTTCCTACACGACCCCATCAAGCCGTGCAAATCGGTGTGCCAGCGCGCGCGCGACGACTGTGAGCCCCTCATGAAAATGTATAACCACAGCTGGCCGGAGAGCCTGGCCTGCGACGACCTGCCTGTCTACGACCGCGGAGTGTGTATCTCACCCGAGGCCATCGTCACTGATCTCCCAGAGGGTGAGACCAGGGGAAGGAGTGAGGGGGATGAGGAGCCACCCTTGGCTGTCACTGCCCTGTGAGAACTATGATGCCACACCTACAGCTGCATTTCGGTGGTCGGTCAGCTCCCCCACCCCCAATTCCACTTCAGAGGGACTTTATTTCTGGAAGAGTCTGATTTCCGGATAGGAATTTCAGGAGCTGAAGAACACCATGTCCCATAAACAGGGATGGGGAGGATTTTGTTTACAGAGGGAGCCATTGGGAAGGTTTCATTTACAAAAATAACAATAGTAATAATGGCAATAGTAAAAAGGTATACAGGTCTTATTGTGGTTTGAAGCCAGCGTTGAGCACCTTACACATGTTATTTAATCTTCAAAGCAATCCCAACAGAATTCTCCATTTAA